CTCTCTTTATCTCTCTCTCTCTCTCTCTCTCTCTCTCTCTCTCTCTCTCTCTCTCTCTCTCACGGGATCGGGGAAGCCATTGGGGAAGCCAATTGCGAGGAGAGAGTCGTGGTTGAGGTCGGGAGGGAAGGCAGGCCGCAGTTGCGGAGGGAGACTCAGGGAACATTGAAACTCTTTGATAATATAAGTGGTGCAACTCGGTTCTCTTCTCATCTACCTTTGTCTAATGTGTGAGACTCGTGTTCATAATGTGCAAGGATGATGCGTGACATGTACACACTTGCGTGAGATGGTCTTCAGGACCCATGCATTCATGCTGATTTGGATTTTTAGGTGCAGGCAAAAGAGTGCATCGGGAAAAGCAGCCTTCGTGGTTTTAACTTTGTGATGTGTCCTGTGTTTTTGTGTTGATGATACTATGCCGGGACAGGCTGAAGTGCAAAGTTTTTTTCAAGATGGATCTATAAATCTTCACACCCGGAGCCTCAAGTATGGCAAGGTAAGAATACGATCACAGATGATAAGCTGGTTTAAGGGCCTCGCTCCCTTACACATGTTACATGCATTTGGACCCTTTCTGGACCGGATATGTTCAGAATGTTGTACTTGTCCGAATGCTCCTGGTCCAGAAAGCGGCAAATGCATGTAGAGTGTTGTGTAGTGGAGCTAGGCCCTAAGATATTCCTTTGGACTGTGCTCAGCACACATGAGGACACACACGAAGTCCAGGGAAACAGTCTGGCATGGTCCTGCTTTTTTTTGTGCAGTTGTTTGTAACGAATATGACAAGGCACACATGCACATTGTAGACATGCACAGGACATTCTGACTGAGTGCATGCTTTGAAAGAGTTTTATACCCGCTATGGAGAAGTTTTCTCTATAGGGAGAAGCGGGGGAGGAGACACCACCCTGATGAGCTTGCGGCTGCAGGGGAAATGCATCCGAGTTATCACTATCGCCGTCTTCTGTACTTTTCAGAGCGTTCACACAGCAGTTTGATTGATTTTCTTGTGGGTCAATCTGTGGTAGGGTGTGGACTGTCATGCATATGCTCAAATGCATGCTACCTTCCTCTAACTGTGCCTCCCACCATGCACATGCACATCCACACGCATATGGATAACCTTCAACTATGTCAGTCCCGGGCGCGCCACGGTGATGCCGTGGCCGTGGGAACGGCAACAGAGAAGATGGCGGAAGGGGATCAAGTGTAGTATCTGTTCTGGTCAGTTCAATATCTGATCTGTGGTCCCTGGGGCCATACACAAAAAAAAGAGCCGAGCTGCGAAAGAAAGGAAGAAAAGGAAGGTAAAAAAAAAAGAACCGAGCTGTGAAATGGAAAAAAAAAAAAAAATCGGACTGGGAAATCCTGCGGCCCCCTGAGGCGCGCTGCGCATTCTCCAGCTGAGATAGTCAGCTTGCCCCTCCTAGTTGGTTGGCGGGGAGTCCCAGTATGCCTTTCACCTGTTGCTGAGAGTTTGGCTCAACCCTGATGGGATAGGCTCAACCCATAACCCTTAGTGTAGCTGGTTTGTGGTCCATACATAAAGAAGGGTAGCGTTCCAGTAGTGGTGTGTATCCACAGACATCACAAGATATGAATGAGCCTCATCCTGTAAGGGATGCTGGACTCCATTTCCTGCAGGTGCTGCTCGCAACCAATAGACTGGAGCTACCCTCCAGGGGGTCTACCAGGGGCTGTTCTTACCACCTCTGCTAGCCTACCCAGAGGAAGTGTTTTTTGAAAGAAGGGTAGCGTTCCAGGCTAGGTAGGTAAAAAAAAAAGAGGGCTAAAAAAAAAGGAAAAAAAAAATGAAGGCCAGTTTGATTCCCCCGATTGGTATCAATAAGGTTCTTAGGAGGTCATGGGTTCAATCCTCATGGATCACCAGGTGCACACTTGGTGCCGACCAGCTCAGACAGTCAGCATGCTCCCGCGAGTCGGTATTAGACCTGTCTCTTATACACATCTAGATGTGTATAAGAGACAGGTATTAGACTATTAGTAGAGTGTTTAGCCAACACGGGTGTGAGTGCGAGTGTCATGGGTTCAATCTTCATGGATCACCAGGTGCACACTTGGTGCCGACCAGCTCAGACAGTCAGCTTGCTCCCATGAGTCGGCATTAGACTATTAGTAGAGTGTTTAGCCAACATGGGTGTGAGTGGGATTGTGAGTGGGTTGTGTTGTGGTGTGTGGGAGAGCGCTGTGTGGGAGAGCGCTGGCCTTCGACAGTGTGCTGTTACTCGATGGAGATGGGGAAAGATGAAAAGGGAGGTGCAGCTACTGACAAAATGCTCGGTCTTTGTGTCGGCGAACTCCCGGACTACCACTGTTAGGGCAGGAGGCAGCTTGCAATGCCTTCCTTGTGAGGTAGTTATGCTTGCAGGGTTCTCCTGTATAGCCTTAGGAGTAGTGGTAGGTAGGTAGTGAAAGGAGATTCTGAGAGGAGAAGATAGCATAGTGTTAAAATTTAAAAAACAAATCGTGTGCGAGTATTTAGTCCCTCGGCAGTGTCTGAAAGTGCCGTGCCCGCCCTAAGTGAAGGCGGGCCTGCAAATATGTGCCAATGCCTGTTTATAGGGCTATGAGATCAGGCTGAGGGCCCCAAGCAGAGCCTGTTGTAAACCCCATGTGGGCCTGGATCTTCGACGAGGCCTTGTTACGAGGTGGCTCCTTGGCATGCCCCTGTAGGCCCTTTCAGAAAGCATGAGCCTGCCCTAAGTGAAGGCGGGCCCCTGAATTTCAATATGGCCTGAGTTTGTCAATTTTGGCAAAGTTTGGTGGGCGCCAGACAGTTGCCATGCGCCAGTTGGTTACATCCTCCTAAACTCGTGAGAATCAGAAATAATTCACGAGCCTTCTAGGCTCTTCCAGCAGCACAGGCGAAGCAGGGATAACCTCACGTTTACTCCTGGGTGGTTGGGCAGGCTCAACCAATTCGGTCCCAGGCCACTGTCTGAATGGGCCTGGGCGCAGACACGATTGGAAGCTACTGGAAATACACAAGGCCCGGCCAGGACTGGGTGAGCACTTTCCATAAAGGAAAGAGCTTGCCACTGGTGGAGTCATTCGGGCACTAGGCAGTGCATGCGACAGTGCTGCTTGAGTGTGCGCTCGCAGGCTGTGCGCTGTGCGCTAGCGCTAGTTGCCAGGCAGTGTGCGCGGGCGCTGGAAGAAGGCAGGCCGCTGGCCTCATAGCCAGCCCTACATAGTCAGGGCTTGGCTTGGACAGCCAGTGGAGGTGGTGGTGGTCTTCGTGCATAAGGGAGAAAACGTGGGAGAAAGACAAGGATAGGGAGAGAGGGAAAGAGATGAGGATGAGGATGTGAGGGCGCATACCTGGTATTGGCGATGTGCTGAGGGCAGCGCCATAGCCAGCCCTACATAGCCAGGGCTTGGCTTGGACAGCCAGTGGAGGTGGTGGTGGTCTTCGTGCATATGGGAGAAGATGTGGGAGAGAGAGTGAAAGAGATGAGGATGATGATGTGAGGGGGCATACCTGGTATTGGCGATGCTTTGCATTGGTCGACACGTTCAAGTCCTACGGTGGCTGCTGACGTATGGTGGCTGCTGACGTCAAGAGTTGCGTTGTCAATTCGTAGGCAGGAAGTAGCTGTGTAAGGAGAGAGGGCCTGGATACGTATGTTGGTGGGGACGAGAGTAAAAGCTGTCATTGACATTCGGTTTCAGTGTTTCGATTCTTCATTGGTGTAATATTGGTGCGATGCTGCTTATCTGGACACTATGGGACTTTCTTGCTTTCAATGTGATTGTGCTATCTGGATTCTGTCATCTCGCTCTCTCTGATTTTCCGTGCAATTTGGTATCGGAGCAGGTTCGAACCAGGGCCTGGATACGTATGTTGTTGGGGACGAGAGTAAAAGCTGTCATTGACATTCGGTTTCAGTGTTTCGATTCTCCGTTGGTGTAATATTGGTGCGATGCTGCTTATCTGGACACTATGGGACTTTCTTGCTTTCAATGTGATTGTGCTATCTGGATTCTGTGATCTCGCTATCTCTTATTTTCCGTGCAATTTGGTATCGGAGCAGGTTCAAACCACTCCGCTGGTTCCCTCACAATAGCTGTTTGGTGCTTCGTTGGCATATGGGGGGGCAGTGATAATGCTTGTGCGGTGGAGTTTAGGCGGCCCTGAGTTGGGAGGGTGCGCTTGGAAGGCTATGTGGTGACATAGGGGTGCACGCTGGATGATGAGAGCTTGCTGACGTGGCAATTTAAGGCGAGGTGGAACTGCATTGCATTGTGGGTTGTACCGAGGCATCGACTGGTCATCGTAAATGCACGTCAGGTTACTGGTGAGAAATCTGTGGTTGGGGGCAGCACTATGAGGTACGTTGCTTCTTACCTTATCTACCGTCTTCGTTGCTTCTTACCGTGAGGAAGTGAGTCTTGTCTTGAGAGTCCTCTCGATGTGAGGTGTCGCGAGCGCTCAACCTTGAGAGTCGACATTCTTCCTGGGCAGCAAGCTGGTGGGAGACGGGCGAAGCCTCTGAAGGGCCCTGGACGAAGCACTCGGGTCACAGTCACCATGACAACCCGCTGGGGCTAGTACACGCATGCTTTGCCGCAAGTCCTTGGTCCTGCTTGCTGCGCAATAGAGGTCATGCTGGGCATGCCAGCCCTATAAGAGACGCTCACCAGACCGTCTATAAATATTTCTGGCGGGTTCGTGTTGGATCCTGGCTGTGGTCGTCGTGCTGATTGCGGCGTTAAATAATTCCTGAGGACCGTGGGGGCTGTCCTTAAACTGCCTCTTGATCAGCCAGATCAACCGGAAGTAAGGCTCGTTGCATGCGAGTATAAAGAAGATGCAGGGCTGGCGGACTTAGCATAGACTTGGGGCACTGGGGTGGGCCGGATTGCACACCTTTAGACACGCCGTCTGAACTAGAGCTACAGGACGTCGGCACAAAGTGACTACTCAAGAGGGATATAGGGAGAGGGAAGATTCCAGTAACTACTCGAATGTACAATATTGTAATATTTCCATTCAACATGCATTTCAACAAATGATTTTATTTTTTATTTCGATTAGTTAGGTGTGACGGACTGCTAACAGCTAACAGACTGTTGCAGATAGAGTAGTTGTCTATTCTTGCTGCAAGCATTTGTTTCAGACTAGTCAAAAGTAGGGTGGGCCGGATTGCACACCGTTAGACACGCCGTCTGAACCAGAAATACAGGACGTCGACACAAAGTGACTACTCAAAAGGGATATAGGGGGAGGGAAGATTCCAGTAACTGCTCTAATGTACAATATTGTAATATTTCCATTCAGCCAGCATTTCAACAAACGATTTTATTTTTATTTTTGATTAGTTAGCTGTGACGGACTGCTAACAGCTAACAGACTGTTGCAGATAGAGTAGTTGTCTATTCTTGCTGCAAGCATCTGTTTCAGACTAGTCAAAAGTAGGAGTAGAATTGTTTGCAGGGGTGTGAAACTATTTACTGTTACCGCTTGACTGCTTC